CGGATGGAGCTTTCTCTTTCCAGAGCCCTGCAGTACTGCCAGCAGCAAAAACTTGTTCTCCTCAAACTAATAACTTGAAGAGGAGAGGCATTCCTACATTTTCAAAACAAGGCAGGAAAAATTTAAACCTGTGATTCCCATTAGTATCACATAGCTAATTATGTGGACCCAAAGTCTCAAAACCACACTTGCAGGTTTATGATATTAATTTTATATGATTTCTGTGGTTGCAAGTGACAGGAACTGCACATGCAAAGAACACAAGTTACCATCTGTTTGAGCAAATACCCAATTTGCACATGCGTTCACAGTAACTGTAAATCTGGGATACAGCCATGTAGCATCAAACACAGTGGTACAGGCAGTCACTATTTGCCCATACAATGCTTAAACTGTGGCCGTCTGCCAGCAACAAAGTCACAGACCTTATGTATAGGACAGTCCCTCTTGTCTAAAGAAGAAGAGGAGAAAGAGGAGTCTCCAAGATGCAGCCCAGACCTGGGGATTTTTAGGTAAGAAATGGATACAGACCCTATTGACAAGGCTTACCAAAACAGATCCCAGCATGCTGGAAAAAATGGTGCTATGCCAATTTACACCTGCTAACCATCTTGTTCCAGTCTGTCCAGCAGAAGGGTTTTTGCAGTGTAGCAATGGTTTCCCTTTGGCTGCTCCAATACAAACTTAGGTCTTCTACTATAATGATGCGGAATTTGCATATCTGATTTCTATTCAAGAAAAAAAGAGAAATATCCTTCCTTTTTGTGTGAACCCCTTGTCATTCTGCATATGTGTTATGCCAGCTCTATAGAAAGCCACTGCTAGATGAAGAGAAACATGAATTCCTTGAATAGAAATCACAAGAATCCCCAGTGAGTGCACTCTACCAGAGGGCATACTTAACATTTGGCTATGTGTACATATTTAATTTCTGAGAATTTTCTTTCTTGAATTGATACCCTGTAGGGCAGAAGTGTCAAACTCATCTGGCTGGATGAGGAGTGTGGGGGCAGTGTGTGAACCAAATCAGATTCACAGACCAGCCTGACACACCATAGCCAGTGCACAGGGCTGGGCCAGCATGGACAATTCACGCCCTGGATCAGGCCTACATGAAGGGTTTATGTGCAGAACCGGCACAGGTGCCAGACGCAGCATGCACTCTGTCCTGGCCCAACGCACCATGTGCTGTACGCACCCCAGACCAGCCTCTTGTGCCACACGCAGCACCTGAGGCAATAGGTCCAGTCCCACATGACAGGCACCAGACTAGGGCATGGGGCCTGTTTTGGTGTGTGCCACATGCAGTGCACAAGGTCAGTTTGAGGCCCACAGGCTGGACTGTAGGGCTCCACAAGCCAAGTCCAGCCTGCAGCCATATCTTTGACACCCCTACTGTATGGGATTCAAAGGAGTCAGTCACTTCTGACTCATTCCATTTTTCCCATCAGATGCCCAATTAGTCCCAAGGGTGGGGCCAACAGATTTACACCTTGATGTGAAGTGTTTTACAGGATAAGCCATACATATCAATGCACTAGCAATTGTGAGATGGAGGGATAGTAGCAAAAACGTACGTCATTGACTGAGTTGAAGTCACATCCACATACAGGAAATGTATTTGGCCTGCCAGCCTTTGTGTTACTTTAACTAAGTCTACCAGACACACCATGAGCAGACAAGCTTCAGCCTCACCAACTCATCCATGGTCTGTCATAACTGGCAGTCTTTGCTTACAAAGATATATGAACTAAACAGCAAGTGTGGCTGGAGAGGAGTGATATCTAACATATTTAAAGAGCAATCTACCCCAAGCCCAACCAGATATGATTTAATCATTAGTTAGAAGCATTACTTACTACCTTTGACTCAATCTGAGCTGCAATCGCTGAGTAGCACTTAACACTTTCTTAAAAACACCTCAGTAGGATGGGCAAAATAGGTTTAGACAAAGCCAACACCCTGTTTTTAAACTGGACAGAGCTGCATGTGTTCAGCTGTTTCACAGCAATTGTGAAAACAGGAAAATGTAGACTGAGCTCCTAATTATGCATTTACAGCACCTTCTGTAACACCTTAGAGGGGCCTCTTGAAAACTGTAATATAAACAGTGCACATTTACAAACACCTGTAATTAGGCACTTAGCAAACTGTAACAAGCTCTTTCCAGGTGATTATGGAAACAATTGCACTTTATATGATAGACACCTGAAGCATCTTATTAAGGTCTGAGTTAAAGCCCACTAAGCACATTTCAGAGTTACAGTGGAAACATAAAGTGAAGGTTGATCCTTAAGTAAGACACAAGAGCATCAGAGTTCAGGCTGGCATATTATCACCATTTGGGGCTGCGGGCAGCCTACACTTGGAGATATGTTTAATAAATAAAGATCTTGGACTGTCATCCCCAACACCTTTTTTTGTAAAAATAAGAGAAAATGAAAATAATCAATATGCCATTTTCTAACCCAAGGGACAAAAAAAAAAAAAAAAAGATGTGGTATTTGACATTGAGAGATGTCCTTTCTGCAAGGCCACCAAGTACACATGCTGTATCTAAAAAATCACCTTCCTCTCTAAGCACTCCTCCTTGAATCTCTTCACCAACTATGGGTTCCTCTACACATTAAGTTCACCCTCTTCCTTCTGCCCTGCAAATCTATATAAAACCTCCCTGCCTACCTCCAAGCCCCTCCTCACCACTTCTTTTCTCTTGATTCTTGCACTGTCCTTGTTCAGCCTCAGAACCATTTCTCAATTGTTATGCATCAAGTTGCCTCTCTGGCTTCCCCAGAAGGCCCTCCTCCTTCTCCACATATAACCACTCCCTTCTTTATACAATCTGCTGCCCTGGATCTGATATTCTAGACTAGGAAAGGCTTTAGGAGTGCTTATAAAGTGCTATGGTAATTTAAGGCACTGTATTATGGAACATCAAAAAGAAAAGCAATATTAAGTTTCTTCTACAAAGCTTTCCAAAAGGTCTCCAACCTTAACCTTAAAAGTTAAGAATTTTGTTAGCATGTGAAATGCTCTCTTAGAATATAATTAGGACCAAATGAGCGAAATTAACCTTCAGAATAATTAAACTGAACTATGTATCTCTAAAAAAATACTATAAATCCAAACAAACACCGATGTTGCTGGAAATCAAGTGGGTTTTTTCTGTAAGATGTTCTCCACTGTTGATTTTGGAATGTTACAAGAAAATGTTAAAGAAAGAAAATATTCAATGTAGAGCAGGAATCAAAGAGCACAAAAAGGCCTAAACAAGATAAGTAGATTGCATTGCATCACAGTAAGGGCCTAGGTCATATAACGTTTTCTGAAGTGTTCTTCTCAACTTTGCAATGCATTTTTCATGCTCCTGAATCTTTCTACATCCAGCGTTACCTTGTTTTGGGATGCAACGACTAGTTGATCAACATAGTTAAAAAGTTATTTCCCACGGACAGCACGGCATAAGTTGTGTGTTAAGTGAGTTGTAGGTGGTATCCAATTTTTTCCGGTCATTTTGATTTTGAAAATCTCTTACTCTAATACTTGCAACTGGTGGTGACAGAAAGCAAGCAGAGGGGGAAATATTTAAGAATTTCTCAAAAGCCATGGTTGTTTTGTAAATATAAATCTGACGTTCATCTGTTGTAGCCCCGTATTTGACAAGAGATGATGATGTGATGTGATGTGATGATGACAACGATGTGGTACATACAAGGTACACCTAAAATAGGTAATTTCAGCTCAAGAATCCTGAAAGAAACTGAATGATGTACAAGAAGCAAAAGTTGTTTCTGTTTTTCCCGGAGGAGTCAGGTTTGATAGAAATTTACAAATTCTTTGTTGTGATAAAACTAGAAAAGTTACTACAGTTATCACTTCATATATTGCACCATCAGGGTAAATGGGACTTTTCAAATAAAAGATAAAAGCTAAATCCGGCTGCAAAGGGTTTACAGGACAACACACTGATAAAACTTCTTTGCATTGAGACTGATAGCATAAAACATCAGAAATTGCTCAAACATGACAGACTGCCCATTCTGTTTTGTATGAGGGAAATCTCCTTCAACATAGTTTCAATATTTGAAGATCCCATTCTTAAAATAAGCTTCTTTCAGCCACCTGAAACAGCTTTGAAGAATAAAATTAGTCAACATACGGCTCCAAAAAACAACCGAACTTGTCTGTGATGTGAAGAGCGTGCAAATTCTCTGGGTACGAGGCGCACTGGGGGGAACTACACAGGGATACACCTCGAAGGGGACACACACTGGGGAAGCCATGCAGAAATAAGTAGCCTTTAATGCCAACGATAAAGTAGTGTACGCAGACAGGGCATGGACATGATCACGCAAAAAAAAGAAGAGGTCAGAAGTGGAATGAATCTATGGAGGCAAAAGGGGGCAGGACACATTTTGTGGCTTAAATTTCTGACTATTTAGAGCTGGGATCAAGTATCCCAGGCTCTTCTTCCCCCTGGACTGGGGACTTCAGCCTTCAAAGGCGGTCTGTGGGTCCACAGAGCCCCTCACAGGGGAGGACATTTGGGTATGGGGAAGCAACAGCAGTGAATACAACCACCCTCTCCCGTTCCCAAGCACTATGCAGCACGTCGGAGCCAAAACACAGCTCCCCCGCCCTTGCAGGGTGGGACTGGGGTCCCACTGCCCCGCAGGGCCAGGCCTTGCCCCACTGCCCCTAGGACTGGGTTACGTGCTCCCCTGCCACACAGGTGCGTGGGGCACTGCTGCGCCCGTGCTGGGGGCCGGATTGGGACCCCCCCCTCAGCCAGATGTGGCTGTGAGCACCCCTAAGCAGCCCACCACACCACACGAGACGAGACGAGACGAGACCCGAGCTCCTGACGCGGGAGCAGGGCTGCAGCGCCCGCCTGAGGAGAGCCCGGGCCGTGCTCCCCGCTCCGCCGCGCAAGTCGCCTCCGTGCAGGGCCCCCCGGCACTGGGGGCGTCAGCGGCAGGGCCGCAGGAGCGCACACCTACCTCCGGGCCGAGGCTGAGGGCGAAGCCGCGCGCCCCACACTCCTTCCCGGCCCCGGGCTGCAGCATCGCGGCCCGCGCCC